CCCCATGGTGCCTCACAACTCCGATTCCATTCCCTTTCCACAAAATGTTCAAGAAGCATTTCTTTTGGAAATAAACATAAAGACAACATAGAAAAAAAGTAATATATCCATGGTGTGTATTTGTATCTGGAGATAAACTTTCCCCATTTCAGCGTCTAGATAAATTACTGATTCACTGCATTCAAAGCAAAGTGTTCTGGACAGAAAGCCCTGCCAGCACGCAGGGTTTTCATTCACTCCTCCTTTGTCCATGGTTAGCCAACAATTCTAAAACAAATCAACGTAGTAGTATATAAGTAGGAAGCTTAAGAAACACAGAATGTTCTTTGTTGCTTTGTATGTCCCTCTCCCAAGGTATAACCCCTGCTTTCACTGTATTTGATGTTGGTATAATTTGTGGAGGGGAAGGGAAAAACAAATCGTTTAAATAGGGATACAGGTGGACCCATTGCAACAATGAGACGTACAAGTAGAAAAAGAACTTTACAACTTTGGTGGGGGGGGGGGAGGAGAGCTGGATGGGGGGGCAGGGGGAGGATGGGATGGGAAGGGGAAACAAAGGAGGAGGCTACAATGCTTGATAAGAAATGTACTTTATCTTGCTCATGTAATTGTAACCCATCTCTACAGTATTTTCACAATAAAAAAAAGAAAAGTAAAAAAAAAAGATACACAGAATGAAGGGAATTCTTGGATCAGAAGAGACCTTAAGCAAAATGTATATTTTATTATTTTTGGAAACACAAACATATATTACCTTAATAAACTGAACAAAATAATTACCTAGAAAAATCAGAAAAGAAAGGGTTCTTGGAAAAGAAAATGTTGGCCTATCTTCAAAACCATCATCATCATTATTAATTATTATTTTTAGTCATGGGGCTTGAATTCAGGGCCTGGGTTCTGTTCCTAGCTTTCTTGAACGAGGCTAGCACTTTACCACTTTGAGCCACAGTACCACTTCCAAGCCTATTATTTTTTAATAGTGATTTACAAATTACAATTTTCTGAAGATAAAACAGAAAGGCAAGAACAGCTAGCCAATGTTTCAAAAGGAGAAAATGAAGGGAAGCTATCAGAAAAGTAATATAAGAAAAGCGCTATATTTAAAGTACACGTTTCCAGATTAAAAGGTAAGTGGAGTGAGAAAAGCCTGACACAATGAAGAGAGACCCACATGGATTCATATAGTTGGGAAATTTTAGTGTGACAGGAAAGAAACAAAAACAAGAAACCTTTGAGAGAATGATGAAAAGAGTGACACTGTTCAAAAGGAAATGCATCCTTTACCTAACTTATGTAACTGTAACCCCTCTGTCTAGCACCTTTACAATAGAATTTTAAGAACCAGATGAACATAACTAGAATGCTTACTCCTAAAGGCAGGGATGTTTTCTTATTCAGAACTCTTTTTTATCTGTTACATAGTGAGAGCTCAAAAATTTTAATAAAAGAATGACTATGAGGATTTAAAAGACAGTGGAGCAGTGTCTTCAAAGTTCCGATTGGAAATAACTTAGCAAAACACAAAACCTAAGAAACTGTCAAGTGGAACACCAGAATGCAAGGACTTAAGAACATTTGCTTCCTGAATCATGTGTCCTTTCTGGAAAAAGTTATTTAAGGATGCTATCATGAAAATTAAGAACTGTGACCTAGAAGAAAAGAAATATGCAGGACTAGTAAATCTAGCCCTAGTAAATGAGGACTAGTAAATCTAGAATAACACAGTAGGCCTAGAAAGTAATTTGAAATTTTCCAATAGGAAAATTAGGAACAATGTCTTTAAGGGGGAGAGTGGAATAGGTTTCAAAACATTGATTGAACAAAAGAAGCTGGTATTATTGATAACATAAGAGGTAAAAACAAGGCTTATACCTTTAATCCTAGCTACTCAGGAAGCTGAGATCTGAGGATCTCAGTCCATAAGATTCTTAATCTCTAATTAACCACCAAAAAGCCAGAATTGGAGTTGGGGCTCAAGTGATAGAGTGAGCACAATAGCTCAGGTACAACACCTAGTTCAAGCCCCAGTTGGGGGGGGTGGGGTAGGGTGAAGGAGGCAAAAAAAAGATGATTAGAATTTTTTAAAAAAGAAAACCTGTGTAACCAAAATAAAGTTGCTTGCTGAAGTCATCTAAAATGAAAAGCTAAATACCAGTCTTTCATTGTCCAAAATCCAAACAGTAGTCCTCTTTTGTCTGCTGGGGAAAATTCCAAGGCTTCTGTAGATTCCAGAAACTGTAGACAGCATGGAGTTCCACACCTGCTCTGTTTTTGTGCACATACCTACCTATGGCAAGTCAGACAGTAAAAGATGATACTGGTAAAATTAAAGTAGAACAATTATAGTATACTGTAAGAAAACACATAATAAAACAAATGTGCCCTTCTCAAAATTTCTTGTAGATATTTACCTCTGTATATGCTTTTTTCCTTTCTTCATTAAGTCAAGAACTTTCATTTTTACATATCTAAACTCCTTCCTCCCTCCTTCTTTCTTCCTCATCTTTCTCTTCTACTTCTTCCTCCTCTTCCTCCTCCTCCTCCTCCTCTTTTTTTTTTTTTTTTTTGCAAGTACTGAGGCTTGAATTCAGGGCCTTGTACTCTTGCTTGCCCTTTTTGCTCATTGCTGGTGCTCTGCCACTGAAGTCACACCTCTTCTTCCAGGGTTTTAGTGGTTAATTTTCTGCCTTAGCTAGCTTAATTTCAAACTTCAGATCTCAGCCTCCAGAGTAGCAAGGATTGTAAGTATGAACCACTAGTGCCCAGCCTTCAGTACTTTTCTTAATCTGTGATGGTTAGATATTTAAGTTGCTTCTGTTTGTTAAAAATTGCATTTTACTACCTCAGACATTTGCATATAACTTTGCCCCAATTTTTAGAGATACTTCTTGGAGTCCAGGAATGGAGTTAGGAGTCAAAGATTTATACAAAGATGAAGTCTTAATCCATTTTGCCAGCCCTTGTTTTAGAAACTCTATGAATCTTTTCCTGAGGGTAGTTCTGGCAGCATTAAGTGTTAGTGTTGAAAATTCTTTAATAATATGATGGCCATAGTGGTATCTGAGATGAATAGAATATGTGGTACAATTGGTATAGGATATGTCTCTTACTGGTGTTGCCTTTTTGTTTTCAGAAAGTTGTTCTAAATCGTGTTCTATTTTATGCTGGAGGTTTGAACCTGGGGTACTAAGCATGCTGAGAAATCTCTGTATAAGATTACACTGTTCAGACATGATTTCATATAAATAGGAGCTTGTTTGATCTGAAAACGTAAAGCCTCATTAAAACAAGAATCAAGATAAAAATTCCTAACACCTATTTCACCAAAAAAGTTTTTTAATGTTATTTTCTTGTAAAGATGCTGTACAGAGGGGTTAAAGTTAGATGAGTAAGGTAATGAGTACATTTCTTGTTGAGCATTGTTACCCCCTCCTTTGTTTTTCTCCTACTTTCCCTTCCCTCTCCCACTTCTTCCACTTCCATTTCCAACATACTGTCTTGTGAGTATTATTGTTGTAGTGGGTCATCCTGTGTCCTTGTTTCAGCATTTTGTTTTTCCCCTTCTACTCCCCAAATTAGATAAATGTATATACAAGATGCAGGGTACCAAAATCAAATACAATGACAACAGGGGATATACCATAGGAGGAAAAGCATACAAAAGAAACAAAAAGTTTACATAGTACAGAGCTTCCCTATGACCCAGCAATCCTACTTCTGGGCATTTACCCCAATGATCACAAACAATGCCATACTAAAGATACCAGCACTATTATGTTTATCACAGCATTATTCACCATAGCTAAGATATGGAACAACTCAGATGCCCCTCAGTAGATGAATGGATCCAGAAAATGTGTTTTACACACACACACACACACACACACACACTGAAATTCTATGCTTCCATCAGAAAGAATGACATTTGTTAGGAAATGGAAAGACTTGGAAAAATCATATTAAGTAAGCCAAACCCAAAGAAATATAGGTCCCATGGTTTCCCTTATTTACAGTAATTAGTATACATCTAGGATAATGTTATCAGATGAGCAGGAAAGCTGAAAAACTATGTACATATGATCATATAAGATGATGCTAAGTGAAATGAACCCCAAGATATGGACACGAGAGATTTTTCTTTGTTGTTGTTTTTAATGTACCAACAAGGTTTTTACAATCACATTTTTAACTTCTAAAGTCTGAACATTTTTAGCACCTTTCATTAGTCTTGATCATTAACCTGAACTCAAAAAAATAATTCACTTTCGCTTAGCATTTTCACTTTCATGTTTTAAAATTATTAAGATGAAATGTGGACTAATAAAAGAAAGGTAGTTGGCTGTTGTAATACCATTTTCAGCTATTCCTTATTAGGTCCAGGTAAAAAGTGAGTGAAAAGATTCTTTTCTTAATCACACTATTAAAAATGAAACATGATTTGATTTTTAAAATGTAGTAAAAGTAAATTAAGTATATACTCCCTCAGAAAAATCAAGGTATGTTCATGTTACCAGAAAAACAGGGAATATACCATATAAATATGTATAACCAAATGATTATCAAATTTTACTAATATCAATTCTGGCAGAATACCAAGTTTATTTTAAAAATAATTAAATTCTGGTAGTAAAAAAGGAGGTGGAAGGAAGAAGCTATTAAGCACTAGTAACATTGCTTTAACCACATTTGTTTTTTCCTTAGTCTACAACAGCACTGGTGAGTGAAACCAAGAGAAGGTAAAAGTGTGCAAGAACAAATCTCAGTTCAGTCCTGCTGCTTTTAAGGCTGTGACTGAAGGTATGGCCCAAATGGTAGAATGTCAGCAGGGAGCAAGCAAGCTCTGTGAGAGAGTGAGGCCATGGGTTTAAGTCCTGGTACCAGCAAATAAATCAGTGAATAATAATCTGTATATTATGTTGCTTTTCATATTTTTCACTGTAATTAATTACAGAGTTCTATAATTTCTTGATGAAATTTCCTTTTCCTTCCTCGGTTAGTGATGTGAATTTGTGGAGTTGCAGATATATTGTGGGGAAAACAAATTGCACAGAAGTAGATATTATTGTCAAGATATGTATACCATGAATCTGTTCTTCAGTATTGTCGTGAATCTGTAAAGTTACATGAAAAGAGACCATTTTTCCAAACAATGGAGCAAAGAGAAAAAAGTTCAGATACTGAGCAAGAAATAAAAAGTGACAAACACCATCACTCTGGCTATTCATCTGATTTTGGCACACCACCACAGTCTTCTGGCCAGTACTCTCCAGCCAGTCCTTCACGTACAGATTCTAGGGAAACAATTGCTAAAAAACAAGTATCAGATAACCAAGTACATCAAAAAGGTAAGTATTCTGTAAGAGTCATTTGGGTGTGCAAGACACTTAGGAGGAGTTAAGTAAGACTTGTAGAAATGAAACTTTTCCATTAGTGGGTTTTTTGGTAAAATACAAGCAAGCTGATTTTTAATAGTTTGTATTTTGATAAATTTATATAAACATTATTCATTTATATAAACATGACATGGATCTCATATTAGGAATTTTTATCTCAGGTCTTGTTATAATGAGGCTTTTAAGTTTTGAAATGAAACAAGTTCTTATTTATATGAATTCTTGTCTGAGAAGTATAATCTTGTACATAACAAATTTGTTAGCATGCCTAGGAATAAGACTGAGAACTGAAATTTCTAGTCAGTATTTCAGAACAGCTCTGTAAAATCTTCTTTTTAATGAAACACAAGGTAGTTAAATTATAGAAATGGGTTTTTACTATTTCTTGGTTACATAATGAATCAGGTATCCATGGCTGGTACTACCTGGACGGAAAGTTAGATTTTCTAGTTTTCTTTCATTTTCTTTTTATTCTGAATGCATTTCCTCATGGAAACCCAAACAAACCAACCTCAAGTCACCTTGGTGATTACAGTTCATTGTTCTTACCTTGAGCACATTCAGATCTCTGTCGTAAAGAATATATGGTTACATGTTGAAGCTTCAGATCCTTCCAAATTTGTAAGAAATCTTACAAGTTCATATGTACTCTTTAGAGATTTTATATACTTATTATTTACAGTGTGTTTTTTTATTTCAAACTATGCCATGTTTTAATTTGAACATCACACAAAAATTCCCCAAGGAGATATTTAGAAGCATACTTGTCCTCCTGGAAGAAAAACAGTCAAAGATGGGGGTTCAAGTTTTGGTAGACAGGGATCAAGAAACGCTTGGCGAAGACAGTATAATTCTTTTGTAAATGGAAGTAGGGAACCACTAGGACTAGAACAGTGTGCTTATTGCATCGAAATGGACATTGGAAAGAGGAATGTCCAAGGAGAACGATGGAAAATGACAGGTTAAGTAAGCATGTTAGCCACCTGGAAACTGTGTTCATATCTCCTGAGAAACATGGACAGTGTTACCCCTTGCCTTACTCTCTCCCAATTTTTCCTTTCTGTCCCCACCCAAAGGTTGTGTAGTTTGTTTTCCACATAGTGTGCAGTGAATAAGTATTCTACAGAATGCGCTACAGAGGTTTCTTTTTTTCTGTGCATACTTCATTTACTCTCATGGCTTCCTATTGAGGTGATGATGTCTTCATTCTATGGGTCAAGAAAATGACTTGGAATGGTTTAATTGAATTGTACTGATAATTACGAAGTGGAAATTCAGATTCTCAAATCTTCTTCCTAGTTGATACGCTGTTTTCCTTTTACCCCAAATAAAGAAAAGCAATTCTAGTTGATTTAGAGGAAACATATTTTCACATTGAACTAACAATGATCCCAACTGACTGGACACAGAAGACTTAGATACCACATTTAGTTTAGTGTTTATCTTACACTGTACTAGTACTGATGGTGCTCATATTTGAATTTGACTTGCCATCTTGTCTACAAAGTCAAAAGTAACTCGAGCCTGATACTGTCGTACTCTAAGACAGGGTAGAATAATTCTATATAAACTATTGGAATATCATTCTTGAAGAGCCAGAATGTTCTCAACGTTTCTTAGAAGATACCAGGCTATTCTTGATAGAAAGACATTAAATAGCAGCCATTATTTAAATGTTGTTAAGTCCTTTCAGATAAAAAAATAACTAAAAAAATATGAGCCCAAGTGTGTTCGATGAATGACTAAGAGTACATTTGATGTAGCTTTTATTTTGTATCATTATTGTTTTCTTATTACATTTAGTGTATCTTTCATTTTGCACTATTAGTGTTTCTCTTTTAGTCCCTAGGAAACCAAGCCCTAAGGCTGTACCAACCAAAAAGGGCAGCCGAATGGGATTTCGCTCCCAGAGTCTCAATAGAGAGCCACTGCGGAAAGATCCTGATCTTGTTACAAAACGTGTTCTCTCTGCAAGTCTGCTAAAAATCAGTGCATTGCAGAATGAAGTATGTGAACTCCAGGTCAAGATAGCTGAGCTGCTAAAAGAAAATAAGGCTTTGAAAAGGCTTCAGTACAGACAGGAGAAGGCCCTGAATAAGTTTGAAGATGAAAATGAAATTGCTCAACTTATACTTCGTCATAACAATGAGATTATAGTACTCAAAGAACACTTAAGAAAATCTCAAGAGAAAGAGCGGGCCACAGAGAAGAGAGCAAAAGACACAGAAGGTGAATTGTCTAGGACAAAGTTTTCCTTACAAAAACTGAAAAAGATCTCAGAAGCCAGACACCTGCCTGAACGAGATGATTTGGCGAAGAAGCTAGTGTCAGCTGAGTTAAAACTAGATGACACCGAGAGAAGAATTAAGGTAAAGACTGTGGCTTCTAATTTTGTTCTCGTGGGCATAGTATGTTGCAGTTTGGCATTTGGTATTATTTTTCTGAGAAAGTAGGAAAAATTTAAGGTTGCACATATGAGAGTAAGATGCCAAGGAATGTATACATTGATAAGCCACATGTTGACTGATGATCGTTTAATTCCAGATTTTAGACATTTGGGAATTACTTTAGCTGGTTTTTTCTTCCTCCAAAATTGAAAGTGAAGCTGTCACAACCCATAACATTGATTTTTGAGGGCCTGTGTAAGAAACTCCTTGTGAATAATGCTGTGTGTGTGCATGTGATATGCACAAGAACTGGGGCTTGTATTCTGGACTGTTTCCTGTCATTTCTCTTGTTCACTCATGGCTGGTGCTTTACCACTTGAGCCACACCTCCACTTTCATCTTTTTTTGGTTAATTGGAGATAAGAGTCTAGCAGGTTTTAAACCTTGGTTGTCAGATCTTAGCCTCCTGAATGGCTAGGATTATATATGTTAGCATCTGTGCTTTGGTTTTGGAGAGTGTTCCTCCTCCTAAAATAAAAGCTGATAAGAGAGTGGTTAAGACTAGTAACTTGTCTGAGAACAGTACAATTGAAAAATTACTTGTTTCTATAGAGGAAGAAAGGAAAGGAGCCCTATTTCAAGACTTAACATTAGGTGATACTTGGTATCAAACATAAGTTTGAATTTGGTTCTAGTGCTTCAGAACTGATGAGTAGTTTGGAAAGCAAAAGTGGCCAAAAATTGTGGGATTAATGCCTGCTCTAAGACCAAAGGAAGTTCAGAAGTGTAAATAAATCAGTGTTTACTCTGTAGAGTACCTTACCCATGCCCAGTGGCAGTGACTCTATTAAACACACTATATAACAATGATCAGAAAACTACCTAGTTTTTTTTTCTCTAAATTTTGCTATCACTGTCCTCTATTTCAGTGCAAAGATAACCATGTTATAGAGGGTATACCACTGATCAACTTTTTTTTTTTTTTTTTTTTTTTTTTTTTTTTTAATTTAATTTTATTTTATTTGAGAACACACTGTACAGAGGGGTTACAATTACATGGGCAGGATAATGCATACATTTCTTACCAAGCATTGCAGCCTCCTCCTTTGTTTACCCTTCACCTCCCTTCCCAGCCTCCCCCCTCCCTCCCACCCAATCATACCCCCCCTCCCCCCCACCCGACATTGTAAAGCTGGTTTTGACATGACATTTTGTACTTCTCATTGTTGCAACAGGTCCACCTGAATCCTTAAACGACTTGTTTGTCCCCATCTCCTCCACATGTTATACTGACATCAAATATACTGAAAGCGGGGGTTACACTGTGGGGGAGGGACATACAAAGCAACAAAGAGATAATCTTATAAATGCGTTAGAAACACATGCATGAAAGAAACAAAAACATTAAAATACATATTTGAGGTTTCGTTTTCCTAACATCACATTATTTGACTTTTTCCGCTTGACTCATACCTATACTAGATATTGCAAATAAGGGAAACCATGGGACCTATGTTTCTTTGGGCCTGGCTTACTTCACTTAATATAATTTTTTCCAAGCCTTTCCATTTCCTAACAAATGGGGCAATGTCATTCTTTCTGATGGAGGCATAGAATTCCATTGTGTATATATACCACATCTTCTTGATCCATTCATCTACTGAGGGGCATCTGGGTTGGTTCCATGTCTTAGCTATGGTAAATAATGCTGCAATAAACATAGTTGTGCTGGTAGCTTTAGTGTGGCCTTGTTTGTGATCATTTGGGTAAATGCCCAAAAGTGGGATTGCTGGGTCATTGGGGAGCTCTATGTGGAGTCTTTTGAGGAACCTCCATACTGCTTTCCAAAGTGGTTGAACAAGTTTACATTCCCACCAACAATGAAGTAAGGTTCCTTTCTGTCCACATCCCCTCCAGCATCTGTTGTTGTTAGAGTTCTTGATTTTTGCTGTTCTAACTGGAGTGAGGTGATATCTCAATGTTGTTTTGATTTGCATTTCTTTTATGGCTAGGGATGTTGAACATTTCTTCATGTGTCTATTGGCCATCCTTCTTTCTTCTTCAGAGAAGCTTCTCTTTAAGTCTTTCGCCCACTTACTTATTGGGCAGTTGTTTCTTTGAGGATTTGTTGTTGGGTGGTTTAATTTTTTGAGTTCCAAGTATATTTTAGATATGAGACCCTTGTCCGTTGTATGGCTAGTAAAGATCTTCTCCCAGTCCGTGGGCTTTCTATTGATCTTGCTAGCTATGTCATTTGCCCTGCAGAAGCTCTGCAACCTTATACAATCCCATTTGTCCAGCCTTTCTTTGATTTGTTGTGTTTCCGGGTCTTTATTCAGAAAATTTCGGCCTGTGCCAAGGAGACCCAGGGTTTCTCCTATTCCATCCTGTAATGTTTTCAGAGTGTCTGCTTTGAGTTCAAGGTCTTTGATCCATTTGGAGTTGATTCTGGTGCAGGGTGATATATAAGGATCTAGCTTTAGTTTTCTACATGTAGTTAACCAGTTTTGCCAGCACCATTTACTGAAGAGGCTGTCTGTCTTCCATTCTATTGTTTTAGCTCCCTTATCGAAGATTAGATGGCTATAGGTCTGTAGGTTCATTTCTGGGTTTTCAATTCTATTCCATTGGTCCTGAGGTCTGTTCTTATGCCAATACCAAGCTGTTTTGATTACTATGGCTTTATAGTAGAGTTTGAAATTTGGTACTGATATTCCTCCAGCAGTGTTCTTTCCGTTGAGGAGCGTTTTTGCTATTCGGGGTCTTTTATTGTTCCATATGAATTTTTGGATTGCCTCTTCTATTTCCTTGAAGAATGAGGGTGGAATTTTGATAGGTATTGCGTTGAATTTGTAGATAGCCTTGGGAAGTATTGCCATTTTCACGATGTTAATCTTTCCAATCCAGGAGCATGGGAGGTTTTGCCATTTTTTAAGTTCTGTGTTGATTTCCTTTTTCAAGATTTTAAAGTTTTCATCATATAGGTCCTTCACTTCTTTAGTTAAGTTAATTCCTAGGTATTTTACTTTTTGTGGGGCTATTACAAATGGAGTTGCTTTCCTAATTTCAGCCACACTTTTCTCATTGTTGGCATACAGAAAAGCCATTGATTTTTGGGGGTTAATTTTATAACCTGCTACTTTTCCAAAGTTTTGAATCAGCTTGAGTAATTTGGGAGTGGAGTCTATGGGATTCTTTAAATACAAGATCATGTCATCTGCAAAGAGGGAGAGTTTTATTTCTTCTTTCCCTATTTGGATCCCCTTTATGTCTGCATCTTGTCTTATTGCTGTAGCTAGGCATTCTAATACTAGATTGAAGAGAAGTGGAGAGAGTGGGCATCCTTGTCTTGTTCCTGAGTTAAGAGGAAATGGCTTTAGTTTTTCACCATTGAGTATAATGCTGGCTGTAGGTTTGTCATATACAGCCTTTATTGTATTGAGGAATGTTCCATGGATTCCTAATTTTTTCAAAACCTTCATCATAAAGGGGTGTTGGATCTTGTCGAATGCTTTTTCTGCGTCTATTGAGATAACCATGTGGTTCTTATTCTTGCTCCTGTTGATGTGATGAATAATATTAATTGATTTGCGTATATTGAACCAGCTTTGCATCCCTGAAATGAATCCTGTTTGATCGTGGTGTATGATTTTTTGGATGAATTGTTGAAGTCGGTTGGCCAAAATTTTGTTGAGAAGTTTTGCATCAATGTTCATCAAAGAAATGGGTCTATAGTTCTCTTTCTTTGATGAGTCCCTGCCTGGTTTTGGGATGAGGGTTATGATGGCTTCATAGAATGTGTTCGGTAGTGAGCTTTCTCTTTCAATTTCATTGAAGAGTTGGAGGAGAATTGGTGTGAGCTCTGCTTTGAAGGCCTTGTAAAATTCCGCTGTAAAACCATCTGGTCCTGGACTTTTCTTAGCTGGGAGGTCTCTTATTGCTGTTTCTATTTCAATGCTTGATATGGGCCTGTTAAGATAGTTTACCTCATCTTGGTTTAGTTTTGGCATGTCAATATTTGCTAGGAAGAGGTCCATTTCTGTCAAGTTCTCAAACTTATTAGCATAAAGTTTTGAGAAGTATTCCCTTATAATGTTCTGAATCTTGCTTGTTTCCGTGGTGATGTTTCCATTCTCATCTCTGAGTTTATTAATTTGGGTGTGTTCTCTTCTTTTTCTGATAAGATTTGCTAAGGGTCTGTCAATTTTGTTGAGTTTTTCGAAGAACCAACTCTTTGTTTTGTTGATTCTTTCTATAGTTTTTTTGGATTCTAATTCATTTAATTCTGATTTAATTTTGATTATTTCTTTCCGTCTACTGGATTGGGGTTTATCTTGCTGCTCTTTTTCAAGGAGGTTTAGATGTGTCATTAAATTGTTAGTTTCAGATGTTTCCAATTTGTTGATGTAGGAGCTCAGAGCTATAAACTTGCCTCTGAGTACTGCCTTTGCTGTGTCCCAGAGGAGCTGGTATTTTGTGTGTTCATTTTTGTTGAATAGCATGAACATTTGAATTTCCTTTCTAATCTCTTCCATGACCCACTCATGATTCAGCAGTGTGTTGTTCAGCCTCCATGTGATACCGGACTTTCTTTGGTGGCTTTTGGTGTTGAGTTCTAACTTTATTCCCTTGTGGTCAGAGAGAATGCAAGGTATAACTTCAATGTTTCTGAATTTAGACAAGTTTGCTTTGTGGCCTAAAATGTGGTCTATTTTAGAAAACGTTCCATGTGCTGCTGAGAAAAACGTGTATTCTGATGCTGCTGGGTGAAATGTTCGGTAAATGTCTGTTAAGTCTAGTTGATCTATGCAGCTGTTTAGATCTGCGGTTTCTCTGTTGAGTTTTTGCCGAGTTGATCTATCTAGTGGGGAGAGTGGTGTGTTAAAATCCCCAACGATTAATGTCTTTGGATCTATATGGGATTTGAGGGAAAGTAGTGTTTCTTTGATAAATTTGGGTGCTCCATTGTTTGGCGAATAGAT